AATAAGATATTTATAAGACCTAAAATAATTAATTCAAATTCTCAATAATAATTTATTCAAATATTTTCGAAACAAGTATTTTGTAACTAAATTTTATGTTGATACAATCTTTCATAAAACTTTCTCGATATTAAATGATGAATATTCTTAAAGTGACAGAAATAATTTTGTTTGGTAACCGATATTATTTAATAATTGGGGAGTTGATAAAATTAGTTTCTTTATAAGAATTACAGGATTAGCTAGAAATATGTTGATAATGGGAGCACTTATACCTTTTTACATAAATATTATAAGTGTAGATATTGAGGGAGATTATTATCATCGAACTTATTAGATGAAAGACATAATCTGTTATATAAGATGGTTTACATTAAGTAAAAGATCTCTTAAAATCAAACCAATTTATTGCCCTACTATATCAGGTTCTACATCTGGTTCAAATATTTGGTAAGTATTTATAGAATGGATAAGGTAATCATGTTTGAATATGGATTAACAGTGTTTTAAGGGTTTTGGGAAATATTTTTTTGTGGAAAAGGTATCTGCACTCATATACCATCAAAGAAAAATGTATTTGATTAGATAGTTTAACATTAAGATAAAACAGAGGTTCCGATAAAAAAATTATAAACTGATAGATGAATAATAATATAATTTTCAGTTTAATTAAGAAATTTATTATTTCTCTTATTTTGCTTTTGTTTTTATTTAATTTATTTCCTCAAATGATTTAATAATTTTCCTTCAGAGTTCTCTAAAAACATATATGATGTATATTTATATTAATAATTAAATTCATAAAAAGTTGAATTGCCTGACTAAAGTGATCAATTTTTTTATACATAAGGTTTTAAAAGTTATAATATTTATCAAGGATATAAAGTATTAATATCTCTCTTCATAAAATTTAAAGTGTCAAATATTATTACATTATAAATCCTTTCTCTAATATTCAAATAAAAAAAAATACTAAGATCATCATAAATTATATTTGTTTAAAATTGGTATTGTTCCTGTTGTTTTGAATTAATATCACTCTTGAATCAAGGTTTTCCTTCTCTTATATAATATAGAATTCATTATTTAATTCAAAAATATCCTCTTATTAATCTTTCTACATTCAAAATTGTATCCACATTATAAAATTTCATCAAATGTTTTCGATATTCTCTCCTCTTTAAAGGTTTTCGATATATACTGAGTTTAAAAATATCAAAATTTTATCAAATGATAGATTTATTAAGTAAAATTAAAGTTAATTTAATTAAATTTTTATCTTAATAATGATATTTCCAAATCCTTTCCTCTTGCCATTATCAGTATTTTCAAATTCATACAATTAGGCAATACTATCCAAGTACTTTATTTTAAGTTACCTACAATAATTCTTACCTAATTCTTTCCATAAATCTACT